ATTTTTGGAAGGTTATTTTTATTTGGACTGACTTTAATGTAGAGTACGCTGCAATATTTTCTTAGACATGACACTTTCCATTTGTACTTTTGAGTGAAATTCCTAGAGGGAAAAACACTCCTGTTTCAGCGACAGGAAAGCTATGCGTTCACTTCCCATTTTAAAAAAATCCCACCTTCCTTTGATTAAGACTGAGAAAGTCAAACCCAATCGATTTATTATAATCAATGTGTTGAAAATTATCAATTCAGATGAAGATTTACTCCCAAAGTGGCTATGCTTGAAGGGCTAAACAATTACGTTTTTCTAACCCTAACTGTTTACTAAACATGAGAACTGTATTTTAGAGTTAAAATGTACTTTTTGGCACAACGTTTAAGGACTATTTTTCCCACCGAGTCATTTTAAACCTTTCAAAATTGCAGGGGGGGGGGGAGGAGGGAGAAGAGGGTTAGAGAGGGGAAGGGGCAAGGTTCAGACTTCTGATTCAGTTACAATGTGTACTCATTTGTGACAAACTAACAAGACCCCTTCAAATCCAATCCGCCTCGTACATCTTTTTTGCCATTTGGGTCTCCCAGTCCCAAAGTTACCATTCCACAGTCTGTTGCATAATTTCAGATGTCATGGAGCTTCCCAGTGATGAAATCTGAGAAGGCTCATGTCAGACCGCTGACTGCTAAAGACATCACTACATGAAAGATCAGTGGTGTGAAACTTTAAAAACATCGATCCAAATGAATCAATTAAATCAACATTCATCCCTCCTAAGTGTGGTTTAAGACTATCATTGTTACCTTTTTACACTACACAGATTTGGAGATAAACGCTGGAATGCTTTGATGGTTCCATCTATTCCAGAATCACTGTTAATCGACTTTTTGTGTTATTTTTCCCTTTCAACAGCTTATGCCCAGAGAGAACATTCTTCACATTTAGGATACTCTTAAGACTGTTGCTTCCAGTCTAACCCTGGATAACAAAGCTGATGCTTTAGCGAGTAGGCTTTGTTAAGTGTTGCTTAAAACTTTCCCAGGCTCAAACTGATTTTTATTTTATGGCATTGCACGGAGATGAATGGACTATTAGTTAAAAGGAAGAGGAACAATTCAAGAAGCTCCCAGTTAGTTACTCTGGTACAAGCAAGAAGATTCAAACTGGGAGAGAGATCCTCCTGGATCTGGATGTGACATACGTTTTGGTGGTAAAACGGGTTCCGCCTATCCTCCTCCCCCCCCCCCCCCAAGCCAGGGAC